TATATATATTTTTTATTTTTTTTTAATCGCAAAAATGAGGGGGCTCGCGAGCAAATAGACTAATTTCAAGGCGATGATTTTTTTAAATGGGCTTATTTTTTTAATCCATCCAATTTGTCGATCCATGTTTGAACCGCCCAGTAGGCCACAAAGGTGCAGACACCACGATGGTGTCTCAAAATTTTGCTCCTGGAAACGGTCTCTGAAATACCACGAAGGTTCCGCAACGGTTTCTGCGGCAATATTCTGTCTCATGAGAGCAGCTAGTGAGCATACTGAAAGCAGCTGTTTCCAAACACAGCCGACTGACTTTTTCCATCGCCATTCCGTCACTGCACACTGCTCCATGTGAAATGGCCTTTACGCTCTCCCCAACGTCGATAGACTCGTGCACGTCCATCAGCCGGTGTAAGGAGAAAACGTGACACGTCGGTGAACAAAACAGTTCTCCAAAGGTTGCAAGTTATGTGTCCAGGAAGATGTCAAAGCTGTTAACTGTCTCTTTCCTATGAGAGAATTACTAAATTACCGCTGGTTGTCCTTGCTCAAATGAGCCTTTGTGGCTCCCTTTGCTCCCTTTAACTTTAGGAAATACGTGCTAAATTCCTGCTCATAGCATTTTCCCATCCTATAGGACCTGGTGATGAGGAGGTTGGACAGGGTTTCATTCTTTTGTGAACCTTTGAAGTCTGTCTTGTTCTCCTGAACTTGACTGAAATTTTTTTCACATTCATGATTTTGTGAGGGATTGTCAATAGTCCAAGCATGAAGAATGCCAGTTGTTCATATTTCCCAGCTGCATCCAGCTGTTTGGTAATACGCTGATCAAGAAGAGTAGTGTCAAAACTTTCCAGCTGGTACTTGGAGAATTCTTCTACCAGATCATCGAAAACCTTGTCTCTCTGCTGATCTTGCCTCTTCTACTTCTACACCAGGACAGGGAAGTTGGGGGTAAAAAATCTCATTGAAGAGTAACTGGTATCCATAATTTTCTTTGTTTCAGCAACCTGAGCATAATGAAGGATTACATGAGATTAAAGCTGGAGGAAAGGAATGAGTTTTATGAACATGTGAAGAGCTACTACATGTGAGTACATCATCTTGGCTTCAAGAAACCTGACAGTATTTCCTTCAGAAAGTCCATAAGAATGAGTTTCAGGGTATGGATCAGTGGTTCTCTTTTGTGGAAAGATTCGTTTGCGTTTTCAAATATTCTTATGGAGAACAAAAGAAAATGAGCATAAGCTCTGCTCATGTCACTGTGCAGCAGTCTCTGAATTGCTTTCACTCTCTGTTCCTCCGTCTTCTTTCCTTTGGTCTCTTCAGCCTTTTTTTCTTTGCTTTCTTCTGTCTTCTTTCCTTTACCCTCCTCAGTCTTCTTTTATTTACTCTCCTCTATCTTCTTCACATCTCCAACCTTGCTTCCTGTGCTTTCTGTCTTCTTTGGAATTTTGTAACTCTTGGACTGGTGGCTGAGTTTAGGCTGGTCTGACTTCTCTGTTCCCACCTCCTCAGGGACAACCAACAAGTGCACACGTGCTTCAGCACTTTTCTCTCCTCCTCTCCACATTCTACTTGGATTTCTTTGAGTCTGTGCTTTCTGTTTACACTTCCTTCCATGTAGTAGAAAAGATCAACCAGAAGGGAATTCACTGCCACTGGCAACATTGTCGCTGCATTTTGTTCTTCAATGTTTATCGGATGGCAAGGGCATCCAAGGGCTATCATGTGCTGCTGTTTTTGTCGAAGAACTGAAATGACTCCCTGGTTTTTTGTTAACATAACTGTTGCATTGTCAGGTCCCATAGCAACACAGTTTCCTGTTGACGCGTACAATTTCTCCAAATCAGAGATCATCAGCTCACCAAACCAATGTTCACTCCCGTTGAACCTAACTCCAGACTGGGCACCAATACAAGCTGCAATTTTATTGACTTGGTGTCCTTATCAGGAAAGAATTGGGTACAGCTTGGAGTCAGATGTGTGGCTGATATAGCAAAAGGCAATTGTCGAAGCTTTGAGCTGACTTCAGTCTTGTCCTGTGGTGCCATTTCGTTCCTGATGCAGGTTGTTTTGGTCCTCCCTGAAGCGTACTTCTTTGTCTCCTCACTTTTACTTTTAGGGAAGGCTTTCCTAAACAGCTGGGCGATGTAATCTACAGCTGACAGAGGCACATTATGCTCAATGAAGGACGCAGTGAATAAGCCCCCAGCTCTGATGATGTCATGATCCTCATCAACTGACCAAGAAAAGAAAGATTTCAATGAAGAAGACTGCTGGGCAGCACAATCTAATTCTACATTTCTCACATGGACACTTGATTCAATGTGCTGACTGATGTCACTATGTCCTCCAAGAGAAATATTGATGTCCTTCCGACACAGCTTACAGAAAGCATGCAAAGTTGAACGCATCTGTGTACTTAGAGCTGAAGTGATTTTCTCTGCGTTTCTTCTTCGCGGATGGAGGCTGAAGGGAAGGTGCTGACATTTCACACCACGTCCACAAGATTACAACTCCGTTGTTGACTGGATCTCTAGACTAGATTGTAGAGTTCTAGAATATCTTTATTAAACTTAAATTTCAAACGGGTAGGATTGCACATCCACAGCACAGTCACAATTAAACTCAATGGCACAAGACAAAAGCTGAGAGACTGTGATAGTGCCAGAGCTATGACATGACTGCATGATGGAGTTGGAGCCCGAAAAAGTGCCAGAAGGCTTGCAGTATCA